CTTCGTGCACTCCCCGCACGCGGTAACCGTCGTCACGTTGTTAATGCCTTTCAGCTCCAGTTCAGCCGCCGTCGTCACCAACCGTCCCGCGACCGTCAGACACCCAGCAACGAACCCGTAGCCGGCGTCAGCCCGAGATAGCAAATGCTCCGACAACCCCGTCGAGCCCATCTTGCAGCCCGTCAGCGTCACCACACTGCTACTGTCGATGCTCACAAAAGTGGATTCGGATTCGTGGAACATCGCACCCACTCCCACGTCGTTGTCGCGCCAATCCAACCAGCTTGACCGCTGAACAGTCCACGAGTCGTCTACAAAGATGGCGTATCGCACGGAGCCGCTGTTCCCCACCACGCGCAACACGCTGTGATCCGACACGCTGAAGTCTTGGTACTGAAACAAGAGGCTTGTCCCGGAGGACATCGTGTTGTTGAGCAGCGCAAAAAAGGAGTGGTCGCGGACACTGAGCCTGTACATGTAGAACATGTGTGCGTACCCATCAAAGCTGCAGTACCGCGTGTACAGCGAGCTGCCACCCACCAGCGTCAGCGTCGCAATCGAGTACAAACCAAACCCGCCGCGCCTCGATGCATGCGCATTGACGTTGCTGACCAGCAGCGTCGAAGCACTCAACACAACGTCGACCAGCGTCACTACGCTAAACCTTTTGTTCAGAGTGTCGGGCCAAAAGACAACAGAAGACTGCACCGCGTCAACCTCCGTGACGGCGATGTCGCAGCGCAGCGGAAGGGCAAGTGAAAAAGCAACAACAGAGGACTGCATCACCGTCTGACTCACGCGGATAAGGACGCCGGCTGACTCCGCCGCCTCAGCACCACCAACAAACTGCAGCGCGGCACCGCCACGGAATGTGCACCCAGTGAGCGTGATGTTGATGGGGAGATGCAGCGGCATACTGTTGAGAGAGAACGTCAGTACTGCATCCACGCCGCCGAATGTCACACCCGCGTAGCAGTGGTGCGTCTTCCACATGTTCAGCGTGAGGTTCGTCAAAGTCTGGTTCACCACGCAGCTCGTGTCGCCGTCGACGGCTCTCTCCGCCACGGGCGGCACAACCGTGTCGGGCACCTCGAAGGGAAGACACGATGCGCCATGCCATTCTTCCTTGCAGCTGCACGAGCACGAGCTGCGGTCCACCGACTCCGTCCCGGGCATGTAGCACGCCGCGTTGTCGTTGCATGTGCCGCACCCGAACACCACCACTTCCTCCGGAAACACATCGTCGTACGACACCTCCTCATCGCCCTGCAGATTGCACCCAACCACAAACCTCGCGGGGGAAGCCAAAAACGTGTTCAAATGATGCAGATCAGCAAAAGAATAACTATCGTCCATCTGACGGTTGTGTGCAACCACCACGGTGGTGCCGCTGCCCGACAGCCTCATTTTGTGCTGGGCATGTGCTATACCTATTACTAAGGCCGCACTTACGCTGTTGCCCTCCACACGCCACTGCGCTCCACCCTGAAGGATGAGAGAGTTCGATAAATACACCAGCGCAGAATCAGAAAACTCCGCGCTGCCAAAAAAGGTGCAATCCGCCACTCGCAGCAGCCCCGCGAAGCTCACGGTGGTATCCCCAAACAAATAAACGCCATTGAACGCGCTCATCGTGTTGTTCTCCACGTCAATGTAGCCGCCGTTCCTCAAAACCGCGTAAACGCAAACGGATGATTCCACACCGTTATCCTCCTCTGTTGCCCTCAACGTATTTCCCTTCACAATGATCCCGCCACCATTAACAACACCAATGAATAAATACACTGCGTAACTACTTCCCTCAATGTTGTTGTCAAGCAGCAGCAGCGTCGAGTTCGCACCAAGAGAAAGCCCCACAATAGCAATGGCATGGCCCCACGTCGTCACAAGCGTACTGCCTGCCACCAGTATCTGGGAATTCGCACCAAAATCACCCTCAAACTCCAAAGCTCCGGAATCCATCATCGAAGACGTCACGTTCACGTGCACGCGTGCATCACTCCCCTTGACCGACAGGCCCATGAGGACGCACTGCAGCAGCGTGATGTTCAGTGTCTGTTGTGGTGCGTTGAAGCTCCACAGGTCCAGCACAATCGTAGCGGTGAAGGTCACGTTGACAAAGCACAGACCACGCACACCGGGATCAGGATCGTCCACGGAGCTGATGCTGCCACCGTGCACGCAGCGGACCTCCGTGTCGGTGGCATCGGGGAGCGGGTGCGGCCCAAGGCCGTCCGGAACCGCAGCTGGCAGACAAGTGCCACCGTAGCCACCAGCAGCGCACAAACACTCACAGCCGCTGATGCTGCTCGTCCTCGCAGCAAAGCACACGGCGTCCACAGTGCACGTGCCACAGTCCAACACCGTCACGCGTGCTCCAATATTGAGGTCGTATTGGTAATTCGTCACAGTTGAGCCCCTTGCCTCGTTGCACACGCCGTAGATGGTCGGGTGCATGTCGGATGGCAGTGACCAGTTGCTCGTCATACTTACAATGGTTGACGAGTACGAGCCATACGTGAAGTTGTTATGTATTATCGACCACACACTCCGATCGCGGAACGCAAAGCCATTCCCACTTTCCACGTACACAACGTACGCGGTACGAAACTCGTTGTTGCGGTGCACCAGCCAGCTGCCGCCAGTCACGGTCAGCGTGTTTGCAATGAGCATGGCGAAGCCAAGACGGAAAGTGCTGGACACAACCTGCAGCGCGCTGCCGCCATCCACCGCTACGCCCTCAAACACACACGCGCCCTTGCAATATTCAGTGCTCGGCGCACTCCACGAGCTGTTCTGTATGGAGAACACGGAGCCGCCGCCAACACGCAGGTCCGACGCAAGAGCGTACATCACGTGCGTCCGCGACAGGACAGCGCAGTTGTCCATGTAGAAGACGCTGGACAGGTTCACGCCAAGGCCGCGCTCCACGAGGATCGCAGCGCACGAGTCCCCGCCACACACCAACAACGACCGCGTCATGACAAACCGCGTCGACAGAAGACGGACGCCGTCCAGGACAAGCGCGGGGCCGTACCGGGATCCCGCGTAGCCACGGGTCGTCGGCACGTACTGCGACCCGCCAACCGTCGCACGCAGCGTTGAGTTCGCCAGAAGCACACTCGAGTGCAGCGGCATCGCGCCCTGCAGCACGATCGTGCCCTCCAGCGACGTCACATTCGTCATGTTGACGAGGGCGTGGGGCATCAAGCGCGCCGTGCTCTCGCTGAGGCCGCCAATCCGCAGCTGCACACCGCCCGCAAGCACGCAGTGGCGCAGCGTCACGTTCAGCGCGTCAGCGAACACGTCCATCGAGCGCAGGTCCACCGCCACAGTGATTGGGCCGCTGAACACCGCCGAGTCGAAGCACGCCGTCGCACGCCAGCCGCCAACCGTCACCGACTCCGTCAGCGTCACGCCACTCACGCAGCCCTGCGCACCGCCACCACCGGACCTCGCAGGCGGCACCTCGAACGGCAGGCACGCCTCGCCCACACCGCCGGCACGGCAGCTGCACACGCAGTCGGTGAACGACGCCGTCAGCGCATCAAAGCACGCCAGCGCAACCGCACAGCCGTCGCACGGCACCACACTCACGGAGGGCAGGCCGGCCATGCGGTAGTCGCCGCTGCTCTGCAGCACCCGGCCGCCGGCACGGTTGCACTGCACCGACACGACGCCGCTCGTGATCGTCGGCCCGGAGACAAGCGTCGCGCCGGTGGCAGCGCAGCGCGCAATCGACACGGTGCCGCCGATCAGCGTCACACCCGACAGCGACGCCACAGACGACGCCTCGCCCACCGCCCACACGTCGTGCAGGTCCAGCCACCCGCCGGCACCCACCGTCCCACCGCCGCAGCGCACCAGCGACGACGCAGCAGACCCCTCGACGCCCACAAAGCGCAGCACCGAATCAAGCACCGAGAGGCGCTCTCCAAGCACAACTCCGCTGCCACTGCTCACAGCCGACACGTTCGTCACGGAGAACACCGAGTGGGTCCGCAGACTGAGACACGACGAAGACGCCACATGCATCGCGGACGCGGTCGGACCGCCCGACGCCTCCAGCGACACGCCGTCAAGCACCACAGCGCTCGACAGCAGTTCTACGCCGCCGCCAACGTACACCGCCGACCCGCCCGCATGCGACGACCTCAGCACAGTGCTGCTCACACGCAGCTGCGTCTGCAACAGCGACGTCGCGTGCAGCACAAGCGGCGACGCCACCGCGTCCGTCAGCCCGCTCAGCTTCGAGTAGCGCATCGGCCCCGCCGTCACAATCGTCGAGTCACGGACCGTTACGTTCGTGCGTGCCGGCAGGTTGTGCGCAAACACAAGCGAGCAGTAGCTCCCGGACAGCCCGCTCACGCTCACCTCCAGGCTCCGGTCACTCGTCGGCTCGCCGCTGTAGCCCCGCACGTAGATCTGCGCACCGCCATCGCACACGCAGCTCCTCAGTTCGATGCGCAGCGCGCCGGGAAGCATCGCCGGCACGTCGAACACCACAGCCACGCCGTTCGTGATGGACACGCCGTCCATCAGCACCGTTTCCACGGCGCGGCCAACCGTGATGGCTCTGTCCACCGTACCGCCCCGCAGTCGCAACACCACCGCATGCACCGCGGGCATCCACGCCGCCGCCGCCACCAGCGCCAACGCCACAAGCAGCGCCACACGCACAGCCGCAATGGCACTGTGCCGCACACGGTGCCGGCTGCGCGGACACGCACCCACCGTAGACCACATCCACCAACCCAACCAGGTATCAATAGGGTTGTCGTGGTGTGTCGCACTCGTACCGTCGACCGTAGCACCTTTCTAATAAATCCCTTTCTACAGATGGAGAATCCAAAAGCACAAATCCGATAAATCGTTATCCCACTACTGATTGTCCTAATACTGCCGCGAGCAATAACTAATACCTTAAAACGATAACTCTGCTAGTCAAGTCAAAATAGCTCTAACTGCACGGTCAGAGGAGAAGGCAGAGGCGGCAACAGCTAATAAACACAGTGGCACGCAGAAGCATCCGGCCACAGACGATCCCCACCACGGCCACTGACACAAAGCAGCGCAGACGCAATCAAATCAGTAACACCATCGCCCTCCCACCGCCCACGCAGCCCCACAGAGCCACCGTGCCAAGTAGCGGGGCCCAGGCAAAAACAAACATGACCACTGACGCTGCTAGTATGACCGATGGGTCGGCACAGCACAAGAAACAGCAAAATCATACGCGCACTGCATACACAATGACGAAATGAAGAATGAAGAAGCACGGCGGCAGTACGCAGACACGGGAAAAAAGGGTTCCCACCGATTTTACATTCCGATTGGCCCGCAGCCATCCTAATGGTGGTCGCCCAGATGCCGCGCGGTGCGTGTGGCCTGTGGCTGCTGTGGACTGAGAGGATGATGAGAGGGAAGAGAGATGCGGTGCAATCCTCATCCATCTCGGTTGGTGGTTACACCAGTCACGCCATCCCCTCAGATCGCCTGCAGCAAAGACCGTCACCATCAGCAGCGGTCGGTGCCTTCCCTCCCCACTGGGGCGCAACTCCACCAACAACACAACGAGGTAGCAGCAGCCTCACGCAACTGCCACCACAGAGCGCAAGAGGAGCAACCAACCACACTGCAATACATATATCGCGTAAGTGTCTCGTGTGTGTCTGCCTACGGTCACAAAAAAAAAAAAAAAGGCAAAGCATCTGAGGGGACACACAACCACACAATAGTGCCAGACAAAAAGAACAAACAGAATGACTGCTGAAACGCAACACCGCACGGCTGCCCACGCTGTGGAAAGCCGCGGCACACATGCTGAAAAGTAAAAAGACGAAGATGTATTCGTCTTCCATTATGCATTCACTCAAAAACCAAAAAAAAACTGCACGTTGCTGCGTGGCCTCCAAATCGGTGTGTGTGTCTCGCCTGCAGATAAGAAATAAATAAATGTGTTGCACTCCTTCCAGTCGTTTAAACACCCGGTGGTGCCCACACATTATTTATATTCCACTGGGACACTCGGCGCGGTTTCGTGCCCCCATTCCATTGTCTCTTTTATTAGCCGGCGCCATCGGCGTGGCACACAATGCCGGGAGCGTCTCTGGTCAATCAAAAAAAAAAAACACTCAGTAGATCCCTTAATTGTCGGAGAACCACAACACGGGGTGTAAAGAAGAAAACAAACAACAACCCCGCGGTGCTGGTGCTGGGGAGAGCATGCTTCCACATGGAGGAAAAGCCCTGCACAGCAAAAAGAATCTAAAGTAAAATAAAATGGTCAAAACAAAGTGTCCACAAAAAGTGGCAATTACTTTGAAAGAGTGCGTGGAAAGACGCATATGTTCCCGCTGGTTGCAGGAAGTACTCATTGCGATTCCTCAGTAAAGGGCTACAAAACCCTAGCAGCCGCAGCAGCAGCACCCGAGACACGCCCCCACGCATGGAGCCGTCATCTTTTCCTTTTTTGCCGTCGCTTTTCCTGACCAGTTTTAGTTCACCGACACTCAGTGGGCGGTCTTACAGAAAGACGTTCGTCACTGTCACATCGCTGCTGTTGATGTCTCCCTCGCCTCCACCAAAGTAGAAATGTGGGATTTCATGTCCCAGCGTCTCAAGTGTTGGTATCGTCTCTGGGCTCCCCACAATCACACCATCCACGTACACATATCCCTTGTGGCCGTCCTGCAGCATGAGCGCCACCTGGTGTTCTCTCCCCAGCTCCCAAGTGGTGTTCGATGTCGTTTTCTTCCCATCAAACACCGTCTCCCACGTTTTATTCATGCTGTGCGACAGCCCAATGATCTTCTTGCCGTGACCGTTCCCAGACCCGCACCCAGCAGAGGAGTGCTCCCCTTCGCAACCTGGTGGATGGTCACCGTCGCCACAAGGGTGAAATCGTAGTTCACAAAGCCGTACTGGTTATTATCCTCCCGGCTGTTCACACGCCATGTTGCCCCGGTCCCAGGTCCCGTGAACTTGAACCCTTTTTTGGCCTTCGCTGCCTTCTTCGCAATTGCATTCACGCAACGGTACTCGTCGATCCACGTGACATCGCCGGACGTTGCGTCGGACAGGAATCCAACCAGGCCTGCCGTGGGTATGGATGACTTGGAAAAGGAGGCGTCCAGCTGCGCCCAAGTGCTGAGGACGGAGTTGATCGTCTTCAGCTCCTCCGTCAGGCAGGCAAGGGATATGCCCCGGCGCGTTCCCACAATACCCTCTCGTAAAAGGTGCAACGCACCGTCCGAGTACAGCAGGTTGCTGGAAAACGTCAGACTCACGGCATTCCCCACAAAAAGCGGTCCAACATGGAACGTGCGGCTATTGTCCGCAACCCAAAGGTAGAGCGCATTGGGTTCACTCGCTTCCGAGGAGTTCCCTCTCTGAGTTTACAACATGACCTTCTTTTCCTCAATGGTCGCGGTGATGAGAACTCCCACATGCAAACTTTCGTCCCAACGGAATCCTGATTGTGACATGACCCGCACGCCTGAGAGTGTTCTGGCAGCATTCTTCCACGTTGTCCCCATGTCACGCGACTCGAACACACTCTGGCCATTAAAAAATTCAACAATCATGTGAATCTGTCCATTCTCCCATTCGGTGATGCGGGGCCAAGGCATTCCACAGAAAAAATGCCCTCTGGGAACACCCAGTTGTTGCCTTTGTCCGTCGAATAATTGATCATGGAGAAAGGTTGATTTTTCCCGTCCCTCGCACTCAGGGAAAACACAAGCGTGTCATTCTGCATCACAATGCCTGAGCCACCAGCAGTCACAAAATCCTTCATGTGGCCTTGAGTGTGTTTGGAGATCTGTTGCAAGAAATATTTAGATTCTTCCCAGTTGATCATTCCACTCGGCTCGCCGTCCTTGGGCTGCGTGGCCACACCAACAACCAGTTGAATAGCTGAGTCACCCGCCGCCCTTTCCTCATCATCATTGTCGTACTTCTCTTCACAGATTCCCGCAAGTGGAAACACCTTATTGACCCCTTCAATGGATGCGGGCCGACAAAAAAAGCGCAAACGATCATCGCCATTCCTACTGCCAAGGACAGTGTGTGCCCTCCATTCCTTCTTGGCGATCTCAGCGACAATGGACGGCCACGTTTCCGCAGCCTTGATGTACCCGGCCACAATGTCGGAAAACCGAACCCCAAACAGGTTATGTTCCTGGACGTTATACTCGGACAAGCCTTCAGCAAAGGCAACCATTACTCCACCAGCACTGACGAGAGAGGGTGAAACAAATGAATCCCTCTTCGTCTCTTGAGACGTTCCACCTTTCTTCTCCACCTGCGTCTTCTTCGGCACAAAAAAATCGATCTCCTGCGCCAGTTGCGCAGCCCCGGACTTACTCTCTACAGCAGTCGCAGCTCCACTGTCGCAGCACATCATCACGACAAGGAGGAGCAGCACCGCGGAAGTAAACACACGCCGGGACATGTTGGGCCTCCGCTGCTCAATCTCTCTTCCTTCCCTCCTCCTTCCGCTGGATCCGGTCACGCGGCGACGGTTGAGTGTGCGGGGTGACATGACAGCAGCAACACGTGAGAGCATATAAATATGTGTGTGTGGGCGGTGCGTGTGCTGTTGTTGGTCCTTTCACTGCCCTCGAATTTCACAGTAGCGATTCGCGCCTGGTAGTAGCTTCCTTCTTGGAGGGGAGCAACAGGCAACAGCGGCAGAAAGACAACACAACAGCAGTACACAACATCACCACTCAAAGCGAAACACAAAATCACCATCCCCGCAGCCATTACTCCACAGCACCTCTCAACAGCACACAAAAATTAAGAAAAACAAGTGAGCAGCCTCCCAATGGGGACCGCAGGCCGTGGCGCTGCAAATAAGCCAAGCGACAGGGAGCCGCGTGTGCAGTGAGGAGCACGAGAGTTGCACTGCAACGACACGGCTGCGTGACACCCGTTGGGAGTATCGATGCAGACCAGCACGTCACGTGCAAGAAGAGTTGCTTCTCCCGCTGAGCAGAGAGGAAAAACGGCCTCAGCGCCCAATGATGAGAGGTCGTCTGCACCTCCTCGCAGCACCTGCAAGCTCTGCAGGCACAATGATGCAGATGACGCTCTGCTGCACGCATAACGACCGTCGCACCCTTCACAATGGCAATCGCATCCTGTGGCACCACACGTCGCAGCGGGTGCGCACAGTCTCCGTCTCACTCACTCCTGTCCCTCTCCCTGAGAACTCATCGGCGGCCGTGGCACACTCACCGGCATGTCAGAAAGCAATTTGTTTCCTCTTCCCTCGCACATCGCACAGTAGCACCGCCAAACGCATGTCGCTCCTCCTTTCACAGATTCTCCTCAGACACGCCTCCCGCCACATTCATCAGCTCACAGGCACGCAGTCCGTAAACGTCACGCTGCTGCCCCGCATGACGGTGCCGCACACACCAACACGGCACCCCGCCACTCGGTGCAAGCAGTGTCTGGACACACAAAACAGGTTGCCCCAGTCAACGACAGCCCCCTCCAAGCAGTGAGACAAGACTCGTCAGTAACAATCAAACAATCAGCCCCTCGTCTCTTCATTCCGCCATGCACGAGGTTCTGCTTGCCTCATGCATCATCTGTGACGCTCGGGCTCTCAATGAGTAAAAAAGCATTATGCACCCCTCCGCTCATTGAGAAACCCTCTGAACATTCTCAGCCAGTCGTCGCCATGGGCCATGCATGAGGAGCACCACGGCAAGAATGCACAGGATCTTATATGCAAAACCCTCAACTCATTCCGCGTCAATGAAAATTGTGGCACCAGACATGCGTTTCACAACAATGTCGACTTGCTCTTCTCTGAGAGGCCTCCCATACACATCGCACGTGATCACAGTAAAGAAAAAGTAACGCCTCCAGTCTGACCGTAATTCCGCGGCGGAGGCCAAGACACAATCTAACAAAATGCCGCAAATCATCATATATGCCACAAAGGCCATCGGCGGCTCATGAGGCAAATGCACAGCACGGAAGAAGAGTCATGCTCACAAACACGCAACGCACAGACACCGAGAGAGTTGGGGGAGGCAACACCAGAGCAGCCTCATTCAACCACCGACAGAGGAGCTCGTGGGTGCTGCAGCCAAAGCCATTCTTTGTGGATGCAAATGATAATAACACCAAACAAAGTGAAGCACCAGTCGGGCACCACATATGGGACACAGACACCACCAACCCACCCATTCACTCTTCCTCCTCCCAATGGTGTGGCCCTCCTTCACCTCCACAAACACGTTTGCTGCTCAGTCATGCAAGCCTCTGACGCAAGCACTCAAGTGGCGTTTTGGTAATCCAAAATTCAGCACTTCCGAATGGCAGTGGAAATGCTCGCAGAGGCCACACGGCTCCTCAACGCACCCTCAAGCCATCCTCACGACTCTTTAATGCGATGGAGAGGAATACAGGTGGCTCTCGCGTCACAGAAGAC